CATTTACTAATTTGTTATTGATCTTAGTTTCTTAGCTTTATATAATGGTTGGGAATAAGATAATAGTCTAGAAATATGTATTAATGCTTCTTTTATCATTTTACAAAATATCTTTGCATATTTCCACATATTTCATAATATTTCCATAATGTCTCTAATTTTTACAATATTTCCCCTCGACATTTCCGACATATATCCTATATTTTGGTAAGCGACATTTCCATTGACATCGACATTTTAAACCTTGTTGCCCATAACCCAGTTCAGCATGACCGGACTAAGCACATTGAAGTGGATAGACATTTCATCAAAGAAAGGGTGACTTCTGGGGAAGTTTGTCTCCCATACATTGTTTCTGACCTATAGCTTGCTAATGTCCTCACAAAAAGTGTTGCAAGGAACAAGCTGGAGCATGATCCACGCAAGTTGGAAATGTGACATTTACTCCCAACTTGAGGGGGAGTGTTGAGTTGGGCCGATTTCTAGTTATTGGGCCCAGTTGTTTTGTTCTTATTTTAAGTTGTTAAGTTAGGAAGTTGTTGGGATTTAGGCCCATTAGCATATGTTTTTTAAGTTGTGACTGTTCAGCTACTTTAGTAGCCGCCCTACTAAGGGCATTCTTGTAATCTTTCATTCTTTTAAGTTAAGTATAAAATATAACGAGGGGTTGGCGGCCAGAACTAATTTCAATTCTGGTTAACATCTCACTCTTTCTTTCCTCTCTTTTTCTATACTGCTGAAACTCTTCATCTTCTTCTTTATCTTCACAAGGAATTCATCCTGATTTACAAATAGTGATTTCTACTTGCAGAGAAAATCTCGCATCTCCTCTTGGAAAATTCTGGTATTCCTTTCTTCCCACACGGACCAGATCAGCGTTGCTCTTGCACACCTCAACATAATTCTTCCTCTTCTGTGATGCCAAGGGAAGAAAGCAGGATCAAAAATCAAACTTGGGAGAAACTATATTTCTTTGGGAGGAAGAATCACGTTGATAAGAGCCACATTAGCTAACCTACCAACCTATTTCCTATCCATGTTTAGGATACCACCTAGGGAAGCTAGGAAGCTAGAGAAGGTGATGCGAGATTTTCTCTGGGAGCCGGGAGAAGGTAATAAGGATCACTTGATAAAATGGGAGATTGTATGCCAGAATAAAGAGGAGGGAGGATTGGGGTTAGGGAATTTGATTAAAAAGAATAAAGCACTGCTGAGGAAGTGGTTGTGGAGGTGGCCAGTGGAGAGAGAGAGGCTCTGGCATGAGGTGGTGGGTAGTATCCATGGTCACTCTGATAATGGGTGGGATGCTAGAGTATCACGGCAGGCAACCTTGGCAACTCCTTGGAAAGCTATTCATGACATCCTTCCTCAGTTTCTCAGTTTTGTCAGGTATGATGTTTGTAATGGTAACTTTGTTCTTTTTTGGGAGGCTACCTAGGTTGGAGAGACCCCCATTGAAGGACCTCTTCCCTTCTTTGTTCTCTGTTTCAAGGTACAAAAAGGAGTCTGTCTCAAAGTTTTGCTCCTTTATGAATAATTCATTAACACCGAATTGGGATTTTGGGTTTCATAGAGGTCTAAGGGAAGAGAAAATTGTGTCCCTAACAAATTTGCTAAACCTACTTGATACAGTGTGTTTGGACCCTTCTAAACCCGACAAACGGATCTGGACACCCAAGCCAAATGGATCTTTCTCTTGTGCTTCTTTCTTTAAATCCACTACTCATCCTAACCCCACTCAGCCTTTTCCATTTAAGGAAATCTGGTGTAGGCCTGTTCCCCCTAAGGTTATGGCTTTTTGTTGGGAAGTGCATTATGGGAAAATAAACACCTTAGACATTCTACAAAAGAGAAGACCTTATCTTTGTCTTTCACCTTCTTGGTGTATCCTTTGCAAGTCACATGGTGAGGACTGTAACCATCTATTAATTTCCTGTTCATTTACTGCAGAGTTATGGGAGTGGCTCTTCTCATTGTTTGGGCGCAGGTTGGTTAGGCTAGTGGATGCAAGTTTGATTTTTTACCCTGCTTTCCTCCCTTGGCAGAACAGAAGAGGAAGAATTATGTGGAGGTGTGCAAGAGCAGCGCTGCTCTGGTAAGGAATACCAGAACCATCCAAGAGAATGAGAGAAACTTAGAAGAGATGAAGGACTACATTCTAAATAGGGTAATTTCATGGCTAAAATCACTGGACTTATTCCATCAGTTCTCATATAGTGATATTTGGAGGAATTGGTTAGCAAGTGGCTAATTGTTCATCTAGAAAGACTAAAGTGAGTTTGACTTGGGAGCCCCCTCCTGAAATTTTTTGAAGCTGAACTTCGATGGAAGTAGTCTTGGTAATCCAGGTCCGTCAGGGGTGGGAGGGGTACTGAGGAATGAGGCTGGGAATGTGGTTCTTATCTACTCGGGGCCCATAGGAGCTGGAAACTCCACCACGGAGAAACTTGCAGCTGCTATCCAAGGAGTACAGCTAGCTGTGCAGATAGGTGTGGAACATCTGATAATAGAAGGGGACTCCAAGGTGGTAGTGGGATGGCTACAAAACCCGGACTCTATAGTGTGGTGTTTTAAGAATGAAATTAAAAAATTCAACTGTCTGACAAGGAGCTTGACAGTGAGAAAACAATGGGTGGGGAGATCTGCAAGCTCTTTGACTGATGGTCTTGCAAAGCAAGGGGTAAACAGGGAAAGTTTATATTGGGCTCAATTGTAGATTGAATCTGTTTCCTGTTTTCTGTTTTCTGTTTTCTGTAATCTATTCTCCTTTGTCTTTCTTCCTGCTATTAGGAGAGGACGCAGCTCGTGCCTCTCCATGGGAAGCTTGTAATTGCCTATTTCTCTATTAATGAATGTTATCTCTTTACTCATCGAAATAAAAATCGAACTTGCATCTGCTGGCCTAACCAACCTGCACCCAAACAATGAGAAGAGCCATATTTCTTTGTGTTCTTGGCTTCTTGCTGTCACCTACAAAGGAGCCTATATGTCTTTTCTCTTGTTATTGAGAAAAGTTACAAATACTAATAGAAGGACCAGAAAGGAGTGATCAATCTACCACCCATTCTCTCTATTGTTTCTTCTTTTTTTTTATAGTTCTCTCTATTGTTTCTTCTTCTCTTCTTGTTTCTTCTTATTTTCCTTGACAGGTTTGCGTACAGTTCGGATTGATAATATTCAATATTGCTGAAATAAAAGAAATGTTCTCTAGAGAGGTAAATCTAAGTTCCCTGTTAAAAAAAAGAAATTATGTTTGCTTTAGAAAAAAACAAGCAATAATAATAATTTTGTATTTTTATAGGTAAAATCTAAACTACCTTTTTTAGATGCTACATCTTTAGGTAGCAACTCAAGATACAGGTGCAACTTGGGTGAGTTCAGGTTGAGCATTTGTTAAAAATTGAAGGTGTAAGCTATTCAAATTGAGCACCCAACTTGCACCCTTAACTCAAAATGGAAAGGGTCCATGTGATTTTTCATGCCACCCTCTTTCTATGCAGTGAACTGCAGAATACCACAAAGAACCAGTACTTACACCCTTAATGTAAGGGACCATTAGTAGGAGTAGTGCAAAACATGGCAAAATTTGGGGCTGAAGCTGAAAAAAAAAAACTATATGCAGTTTTTCTTTGGTAGGGGATGAGAGGTAAGCATTACCAGGCAGTTGTCAGAATGCAAAAAATGGGATTTGATCCCCAAACACCACGTACCCCAAAAGAATTCAAAATAAAAGACTTTTCCAATAAGATAGCTATTGTCATTGAAAAAATCTGGCATCTTGGACGAACTTGGTCACCTCATTTTTTAATGATTTTTAATAGTGAGCCCACCCTCTAAAACCAGAATTCCTATGTAAAAACCAGCCAGGTTTTGGTCATCCATCCAAGTATAAATGAATAGTTATGGATTTAAGATTACCATAGTCCCTCAAGAGAAGTGACCCCAAATGAATTGCCAGAATTCGAGCAGGTAAAACATGTATATGATACACAACACCAGAAAACCCTATTGGTGCCAGCATTATCACATTTAATTGTCAAAAACTTAACCATGAATAGGCAATATCATAAACATTAGATAATAATGTGACTAGTACAAGAGAAATGAAAATATAACTTACCTGGATCTCTCTTGACACCAGGTAAAGCAACCCGGAAAAGATATGCATCTCTGCTAATTCCTATGTCAACAAGACCAACAGGTGGACCAGCTCTCCCTTCTTTTGCTGTTCCAGTTAAAGCTATAGGTATCTTAGAGTTCCACTGTTCCACACTGGGAGTGGAAGTGAGTGATAAAATGGATGGCCCATCTAAACTGCAGGTTCTAACAGGAACATCTTCAATCGGATGCTGACCATGAATATATGTAGGAACCATCTGAGGCAGTGCTTGCATTTTAAATGGATCATTAAGGCACCTCTTTTTCCATTCATCTCCATGCCTTGCAAAGCCAGGAGCATTTCCATTAGAGACCTCTTTTGTCATTGTCGCATCCCAAGATCCCATGTTGTTTGTTTCACTTTTTTCCTTCTCTGTATTGTACCAATGGCAGAATTGTTGCAATTCTTCTCTATTTATCTTCATATCATATATGCCAGTTAAGTATCTGAATCTTTCCAAATCCTCTAACTTAATATATGAAGTGTCAGGATTTTCGATTAGAATGATCCCCTTGAAGATCTTATGTTTTACTCGGTACGAAGTTTGCTCGTGAAGATTCAGTGGAAAAATACATGTGAACTGCCGTGCATCTTCAAGTAAACCTGAGTTGGGCAAGGGTAGCTTACCATTTAAATACATGTATAATGAATGTGGTTTCAGGACTGCACTTGGATGTGCATTCCTCAAGATGTAGTAGTACAAGTTCTCTACTTGAGGAAGATTAACAAATGAAGAACCCAAATCATTCAAACTGTACTGTGGCAGACCTTCCGCTACTCTCTGAAAGGCTGACCGCCTTGGTACATCGGATTTTACATCCGGACCTAAGAAAGTGCCCATAATGAAGTTGAGCAAAAAACGCTGGTCATTTATGGATGCCTCGGCCAACAGCCTAGGGTGTTTGTTCTCTTGCGCATCCATGATGTCTGTTTAGTTTCTTTCAGTCTTTTCCTTTTCCAAGAAGAGAAGCAATCTCACATCATGTTAATAAATCCATACACAACAGAAAATTACATTATTGAAAAGTAGAGGTCTATTTTTTGTTATCACTGCAGAGTGGACCTAACATAATCTTTTTCAGGGAAACAGCAAACTCATGTTAATGGACAGAAATAATAGTATATCTCCAATAGAAAATAACCAAAGAAATGACAGAATACTCAATAACGAATGTCCCTCTTCAATAAATCCATGATGAAGTGAGAGAGACTTGGAGCTCAACCAATCCAACTCCATCATCAGTATACTGCTTCAACATAAGACAGATATAGACTGAACAACTTCAACCTTTGAAAAATATACTTGCATACATTGAGAATAGATAGAATAAATACTGAAAATGAACTACATACAAAGATACAACACAATGTTAAATTATTTATCTCCTCCCCCAAATGGCAATAGGGAAAACTTTTATTAAAGGATAAATAAGACATAAAAGATATAATACGAGGAAAAACTCCAGAAATAAGGGAGCAGCCCAAAACACCCATCATCCATGGAAAGTGATCTTATCAGAACTTGAAATCTATAAGGACAACATATTCAATAGACTGAAAAAGAATCCCAAAACCCAAAACATTCATCATGAAATGAGTGAAAACTGAAACATGGTCCTATTATTTAAATGGCAAACTCTTTAGAAACTTGTTCTTCTTACCATCTGCTAGGATCTTTTAGGCTCCATTTGGTTTGTGGGATGGGAAGGGAAAATATGGAACATTCTAAATTTCTTCCCTTCCCATGTTTGGTTTGTGGGATGTGATGAGATGGGATGGGAAAAAGGTGGGATTATAGATCCCAATTAATGGGATGTGGAATCCCACAATTTTGGTGGGAAACAAGTGGGAGTGTAGGGGGGAACTTGTTTAACAAAAAAAAAGAAAAGAAAACCTCCCTTGTAGTGTTTCTAAGAGTTAATATTAGACCTATGACTCATAGATAAATTATTAATAATTTAATCAATTAAAAATAATTTAATCAAATTAATAAAATAACATAACATATTAATAAAATAATTTAATCAAAACAAAATAAAATATAAAATAATAAATCTTAAACATATTAATTAATGTTAATAATCATTTAACCAATTAATATCAAACTAGTAATTAATAATTCCTTAATTAACTAATTAATTAATTATTGATAATTAAATTAAAATAAATTGATAAGTAAATTAAAAGAAATAATTAATAAAATAATCAATGAAAATTAATTTAATAATTAGATAATAATTAATTTTAAAATACTAAACTATTAATTAAATTATAAGTATTAATAAAATAATAATAATGAAGTATAAACTAATACAAATTAAAATATAATTATTCATAATAATTAATATCTAATTAATAATAAAAAAGTATTATTAACGAATTAATAATTAACAACAAAATAGTTAATAATTCAATAAGTAAATAAAGAATAAATAAATAATGATTTTGTTATTAATCTAATTAATGACTAAATAAATTAAATAAATAAATATTTTCAATAATTAACAATACAAAACAAAATAATTAAATAATTCATAGAAAATATTAATAAAATAAAATTTAACATATCAATTCTTGATTAATAATTAATTAACTAATTATCAATATTAATTAATTATAAAAATAATCAATAAACCATTAATAAGATATAATTAATTAATCATAAAATATAAAATAATAAAGTATTACTAATTACCTAATTAATTAATTAATAATGGTTGTTAGGGTTGACTTTCCCACTTTTCCCTTTTGAAACCAAACAATGGAACGTGAAAATTTTCCACCCATTTTTCTTTTTCCATCCCACAAACCAAATGCTTTTTTAAAGAAAGAAATAGAACTTTTTAATGTTGTTAACGCCCTTTGGCACAAAATCATGCAGAGACTAATTCTAGTCATGTGGACTGGGCACTTATATAGATTTCACATCAAATTAGTATGTATTAGGTCTAGACGGTGGTTCACTATAAAGTATGATACAGGTAAACATTTCCCCTTGTATGTATTGTGCCTACTTTTTTTTTGTTTACAATACATTTTCCTCTTTGAACATATTGAATCTTTTAAGGAGCACAAAAAACCAAGTTCAGCCCCCAAAAGGAGATCTGGGCCAATATTTTCTGGATATCCGGTGCAATTGAATGACTTTGTCCTCAAAGATTCTGTTATTATTTCTCATATAACCCCTAACATTCGCAAGAAGAACTTCTCAAAAACCTCTTGCCCGTGTGGGGGGGGGGAGACTTGAATACTCTTTGCTGCTGCACCACAACCCAAGTACTCAACTAAGCCTTTGTCCCAACCATATCAAAATGTCTATATGAATCCTGTTCCACAATACTACTCTGTTCAGTGGTATGTCTACAGTTAAATTGTAATACCTTTCATTTCTCACTATTTCAACCCATGTCCTTTTTTGGTCTGCCTCATCTCTTCTAGACCCTTTCAACTTATAACCAATGTTTTCAACCCATCATTGACCTGGGTGGTTGAACCACTTGACTCATCACCAGATCAAGAAGCAACTTAGTTAATCACCAAAGAATAAAAAAGAACGTTGAATTGGTCAACTACCTATCAACCAGATAGTTTAACTGTCAAACCATTTGATCCGCATACCATGTGACAAGTAAGACCATATTTCATATTTAAATTTTAAGCTTTTATTTGACCAAAAAAATGCATAAATTCTAAATTTTTAATTTTTAATTTTTAGTTTTAATTTTTGATCTTTTTGTGTCTTCAAACATTCTTTTGGTATTCATTGTATTCATTGTGTCTTCAGACATTCTAAGTATACCCTGTTTTGCATTGTTAGCAGCGGCAAGTGTGTAGAAGCAATGGGAGCAGTAACGGTTACTGGACTGTAATGGCAACCAAACTACAACAGTGATCTGACTTCATTGGCAACCAGATTGCATCATTGATTGGATTGCTGTGGTGATCAACACTTGGATAGGCACAAGGACCACTGCCACCTAGCATAGATCGCTATTTGTGTGGCTCTCTTTCTCAAATCTCACCTATGCACCTGCACACCACAAATCCCTCTTTCTTTCCACTGTCATGCTTCTTTATGCTTTAGGTTTGTGACGTTTGTCTTTGATGATGTCACAGGTCAAACCTGCCAACCCAGATGGCTAAACTGGTGAACAGTCACCCAGAAAGAGAAACAGGTCAGTCACCATTCCAGGTTTTAAACATTACTTGTAACAGATCACTTCTCAGTTCTTACTTGCACATTTGACCAAACTATCTAAGTGTACACCACTCATTTTATCACTTATTGGAACCACTCCCAGATTCCATTGAATAAGTTCATTTCTGATCCTATTCTTTCCAGCTTTCCCACTCATCCATCTCAACATTCACATTTCCACTAAACTCATTTCTTGGACGATTTTTTCTTGATTGTCTAACACTTGACTCCATGCAACACTGCTATCCATGTAACCGTTTTATAACATTTTCCTTTTAGCCTAAGTGCTATTCTCCTATTTACATGGTATCCCAGATTCACCCCTCCATTTTGCTAGTCCGGCTCTAATTTTTTGGGCAACATCCTCTTCAATCTCTCCGTTGTTATGGATTACCAAACCAAGGTAACAAAAGAAATCATATTGAGGTTCTCTTGGTCTCTAATCCTAAGTGTACCCTGGTTTTTGCTCTTATAAAATTTACATAGGATATATTCTGTTTTAGTCCTCCATCTATAGCTTTAGCCTGTTACAAGTTAAAGGGGCTTGAAGAGCTGGGGGCAAACCATATTGGACAAGGGTTGAAGTAGTAAAAAATTATTTAAGAGCTCATAATTTAACAATGGACATGGTAATGAACAGAACAAAATGGCAGAACAGCAGCCTCCCTATTAAGGGCATATTAGTCTTTGTAATCAATCTTTACTATGAGTATATAAGATAATGAGTGGGGCAGCAAGATCATTATTGACTTCTCCCTATCTCTTCTTCTCTTTCTCTTCTTCTTTTCTCACTAAGAACTCTCTCTTTCTCACTGTTATCAAATCAGATAATTGCTTTTTCTTTTCTACTTGGTATCAGAGAAGAGTTTTGGGATTTTTTGAGTCTTCCATCATGCATCCCTAGATCATCCAACTGCATGGTGAGTTAGAGAGCTGATCGATATCAAGGTACCAGAAATGGTCAATTGAATTACAATCCTATGTGTAACTTGATTTACACTCCCATTATTACTAAATTTACTTGTCATATACTTTGTTTTAGTCTTACTTATTTTAAAACCTCTTGTTTCTAAGGCATTTGTCATAAGCTTAATTTTGCATTTGATCCTTCATTAGTTTCATCAATTAAAACTATGTCATCCGCAAACAACATGAACCGCGGAACCTCCCCCTAAATAATGTTTAGTCAATTCATCTATGATCAATGCAAATAGGTAAGGGTTAAGTGTTGAACTTTGGTGAAGACCCAATAGTAGCTGCAAAATCCGAAGTCTCCCCCACTGTTCTGACATTGGTCATCGCCCCCTCATACATATCCTTAATTAGGTCTATCTATTTTGAACCCCTTTCTTTTCCAAGATCCACCATATTATCTTTCTAGGACTCTATCATATGCATTTTTTAGATCAATGAACACCATATGAAGATCTTTCTTATTCTCTCTGGACTTTTCTATCAATCGTCTCAAAAGAATATAGTTCCATGGTTGATCTCCCTAGCATAAAGCCAAATTAGTTCTCCAATATACTTGTTTGTCATAATCTTTATTCAATTATTCTCTTCCAAAGTTTCATAGTGTAGTGCATAAGTTTAATCCCTTGGTAGTTATTACTACTTTGTATATCACCTTTGTTCTTAAATATAGGCACCATACCGTTATTTCTCCAATCATCAAGCATCTTCCTTTCTTTCACTATCTTATTAACTAGCTAGGTTAGCCATAACAAGCGTACTTCTCCCATACCTTTCCATACTTCAATTGGAATCCCATTAGGTCCTAATGCCTTTATTTTTTCTGATGATTGAAATAAGTTTATTAATGAGTAATAGGTCCTAATGCCTTTCCCTTCTTCATCTTATTTAGTGTTACACTCACTATGAGTTAACTCATGTATGAGATTTGCCCTCCTAGGCAAGCCCTTCATTAGAATTCCCAGGCAATGTGGGCCATATTGCTTAAGAATTAGAATGAAAGTTTTGCCTTCATCTATATACCTTATCATAGGTGCTAATCCTGGCCCAACCGGGCCCATGATCATCCCTAGTCTTTTTTTTTTCTCACTCAGAAAATCAGTGGGAACTGACAAGTCTTGGAGGAATTCTGGTCTTCTCTCCAGGGCGGCAGCAGCTTGGCTCCTTATGGTTCAGTTTTGAACAGCTGCAGACTGAGGAATCTCAACAGTCTGGCTTCTTCCTCCCTCAACAGCAGCAGTCTTGAACCTTTTTTTTTTCTGGTTTTATCATGCTTCAAAGTCTTCTCTTCAAGCTGCTCTGGAAAACTTCTCGTTTCAGGTTGACGTATCTCACTATTGTCTTAATCGACTATTACCAGTCCTTGGAACCTTAGTTTTGTGCTGCCCTAGGGTATTTTCTTTTCGATTATCAGTCCTTGGAACCCTAGTTTGTGCTGTCCTAAGTTTGTGCTCTTCTGGGTTGTTTATTGGAGGATTTTGATTCCTCTATAAAGTGACTTATCCTTTCTAGAGTTGCTCTGGTTTGGTGTTGTTTTGGGATCAGACTTCATTGCTATTTGATTTTTTTTTTCGAGAAATAGTGTTCGGCTGAGGTGATTCACTGCCCAGTTTATTGCTGATTTAAGTGAACATCAGTGCTGCTATCTTTTTCCAGGGTTGATTTTGCTTATTTAAGATGGCTGAAAAGATAGACTTCCTCCCTATAAAATTTGATGGATGGAACTAACTACAGTATGTGGAAGTTCCATTTTGATTTCTTTATCAAGGGAAAGGGACTTGAAGGTTACTTGAATGGGACTGTATGTAAACCTAATAAGGCTGATAGTAAAGCCTATACACAATGGAAGTTGATCTGGATTTTGAACTCCATTGTGCCTCACATTGGTGTTCCCATGAGAAGACTGAGGACTACCTATGAGATGTATTCCTATGTGAAAAAGGTTTATCATCAGTCCAATATGTCACAGCAATACCAGATTGAATCTGAAATCTTTACCTACTGCCAGGGGGACAAAAAGATACAAGAATACTATGCAGGTTTTATTGATCTCTGGGCTGAATATGAACTAGTTCACATTGAACCTTCTGATCCCATTGAGTGTGTCAAGTATTTGCAAAAGCATTTTGAAAATAGAAAGGTGAACCAATTTCTTATGAGATTGCGACCTGAGTATGAAATAATCAGGTCAAATATTTTGAGTGGAAGAACTCTTCTAGATTTAGACTCTGTGATGGGAGAGTTGTTGAGGGAAGAAACTAGATTGCTAACTATTGCACACAGAGAAGGGAAACATCTTGATTCAGGGACTGATACTAATATTATTGCACGCGGGAATAAGAAATCTGGTGGAAAGGATCCTTCTAAAACCCAATATGCTATGAATGTAAGGGATATGGACATATAGCTTCACATTGCAAAAAGAAAAATGTTTGCACTTATTGCAAACAGCATGGACATATCATTCTAGACTGCCCTATTCGTCAACGCAAGGGTCCCATGAAGAAGAATCAGCCATGAGCTTATCAGGTGTATGAGGGACAAGTATCTGATGCCTCTACTGCCAAGGGAGAATCCTCTGCTTCCATGAGTAGGGAAGAAATACGACTCTACTATCTCATCTGCTTTTTCTGCTATCGGCCTATCTGGTGAGTTCTATGGTTATTGCTCTCCTCCCTCTCAAGTTTGGATAATTGATTCTGGTGCTACAAATCACATGACTAGGGCCTACCCTAAACCCTCAAACAGACTTTCTGAAACCAACCATTGACATATTGTCACTGCTAATGGTGAGAAACTTGACATCATTGGGAGTGATGATTTATGTATCAAACTTTCCCCCTCAAACTCCTTGTCCCTTGCCAAGACTTATGGCTCAAACGTTTGGGTCACCCAAACTCTGAAAAACTTAAATATTTGTTTGAGTAAACATGCTACTTACCTTTTGAAATTATACATAGTGATAAACTTCATCTGTTGTTTCTCGAATGGGATACAAGTATTTTGTGATGTTCATTGATGACTGTACCAAGTACACTTGGATCTACTTTTTCAAACACAAATCAGAAGTTTTTCCAACCTTTTAGTTATTTCATACCATGGTTCGAGTTTGATTTCAAGCAAATGTGACGACCTTAAGATCAAACTCAGGGAGAGAATACAATGACAGAGAATTTCTAGTCTATTTGAAACATCATGGCATACAAGTCCAATGACATTGTTCAGACACTCCTCAGCAAAATGGTGTAGTAGAAAGAAAGAATGGCCACATTCTTAGTGTTGTAAGGACTCTTCTACAAGAATCGTATGTGCCTTCCACATTTTGGGTAGAGGCCACTAGTACAACTGCGCATCTGATTAATTGTATCCCTTCATCTATTCTTGCTAACATATCTCCTCATCAGAAGATGTTTGGATCCCCACCCCAGATCTTCCCCATCTTCATGTCTTTGGGTGTCTATGCTTTGTTCATCTTCTCCTTCGTGAATGTTTAAAGCTTTCAGCAAAATCTATCATGTGTGCTTTTATGGGATATAGCCCTAACCACAAGGGATTCCTTTGCAATGATCCCTCTACACGTTGTATTCGTATTTCTCGAAATGTGATATTTCTTGAGCATATCTCCTTTTTCAGGAATTGTCAAGTTATTTGCACCCTCTATTTCAGTTTTGTATGATTTTGAATCACAAGATACTCTGTCCTCCACTACTAAGAAGGATCTTCTCGTTTTCTCTCGCAAGCGGGTTCGTGGTCCAGCTCCAACTCCTATGCCTCCGACCCCTCTTCCTCCTGTTCCAGATCCTTCGCCCATCATAGGAAACCTTGTAAGTAACGCTCTAGTTTCAGATTCCTCAGTTGCTCCCCTTGTACCTTTGTGTCGTTCTATTCGTATCTCTAGAGCACCTAACCGCTATAGTTTTCCTTCAAACCATAGATCATTCTCTATTGTTTTATCCTCTACAGATATTCCCCGTTCTTACCAGCAGGCCAGTAGCAGCCCTCAGTGGCAAGGTGCCATGGATATAGAGATTCAAGCTTTGCATGAGAATGACACTTGGGACCTCGTCCTAGTACCTTCAAATGGCTCTATTATTGGGAGCAAATGGGTCTAATCCATCAACCTGAAATCTAATGGGTCTTTGGGTCGCTACAAAGCTAGGCTTGTAGCTCAGGCATATAAGCAGAAGTATGGCATTGACTATGAGGAGACATTTGCACCAATGACCAAGATCACTACAATCTGTGTTCTTTTAGCCCTCTCTATTACACATTCTCGGACTATTTTTCAACCATAGTTTTAAAAGTCTAAAGAGGTGAGGCATGAGGTGTACGCCTTAGGGCGAGGTGTCCAAAAAAAGCCTTGCCTCAATAGCCTCAACAGCCTCAATCTTCATCTATGAGGCTTAAGCCTGAGACATGTGGAGGCATACGCCTTTCACCTTGCGCCTCATAGTTCATGAGGCATGCGCCACAAACAATTGCCCCTACAAAAAAGGAAAATAAATGTTTCTAGAGAGGTAGCAATGGAATTAGGAGAGAGAGAGAGAGACTACTGTGATATGTGTAAACAAGGGAACGAACCTTTGTTATTCTTATTCATGAATCACCGAAGAAGATTACTTTTGTCTTCTTCATTTTTTCATGCTCTTTTTGTTGGAAATCCATCGGTAGAGTTGATTGAAAGAGAGATCGTGAGAACAAACTCTGTTCTTCATGAACCAGAGAAGATTGAAGTTTCAACAATGCATTTGTTGGGAATCTACCACTTCGTTTTCTCTTCACACTTTGTCATTTTCATGCTCTGTTTATTGGAAATCCATCTACTGACCAATCTGTTTATATTGATTCAAGTCTACAAGTTTAAGCTTCAAAACCTGAACAATATTTTAAGTTCTGATGTTTTGAGATCAATTGTACTTTAAATGAAGATTTTTAGGCATAAAAAGATGGATGAAAAACTGGCGGATAAGTACTTCTGTATAATAATGCTTTGGACAGAGTCGACTGACTGATGGTTGTTATATGTACTCTGTTACAATTAAGTTTATTAATACAAACAATACCAACAGTCAAAAAGTCCCATCACCCAATGGGTATATGAGAGTGCCTTTTTGCTAATTAACATTTAACAGGGTTGTAATTGCTTAACAAGTAATGGGATGTGCGCAAATTAACATCCTATTTTTTAATTTTTTTGGTAAATAAAATAATTATTTTTATTAATAAAAATATAAATCCTAATCTTTAAATTCAAAAAATCATGTAAATTACTTTTTTGATTGATAACAAATTGATTTTTCTTGTATACTAATCCAACTTTGTCTTCAACGAATACTAATTTTTCTTTAATTCTTAGATTCTTCTTCTAGCATATTTATTTACTTTTTCTTCTTTTTGTTTTTTACAATAATAAAATTATTAATTGGTCAATAATTTAGTATGTTTTGGTTGACCAAATTACATGATCAGCTCCTTCATTACTTTGAATCAATAGCCAATTTTTATTTTCTTTGTTAGGTTTCAAAGTAGAACCATAAGCACTTTGATTAGTATGTTCCAGTTTGATATGCTTTGTAGTACTATTATAAACTATAAGCTAGAGTATTGGTCATTAGACTATCAATGTATTACATAAGTCACTACAATTACTATAAACTATAAGCTATCTTATTGGTTATTAGACTATTAATATACTAAATAAGTCGCATAAAATTACACAAAACTTC